ATGACAATTGGGGGTAGAGAAAAATTGGGTGTACTGAATGGAATAAATCCTTCTAGATTTATTTTGGTTTCAAATCCTACTGATGTAGTCCTCATAAGCAATTTTAGGTGCTTGTTAATATTTTTTTTAACTGAACCTTCTTCCATCAGGTTTAAATTTTATCAACTAATTTTCCATATTTTTTCTACTTAGTACTTTTATTACTTAGAATTCTTAATTTTTTTTCTATATTTCAAGTCAATAAACATTTCATGCATTAATCAGGGCCATTGCACTGTTACAACTTCCGAAAAATATAGAACTTTCTTTTTCATTTAAATGATAAAGAATTTGTTTAACAATTGATTAAGGAATTTCTGTGTTCTGCTCTTCAGTTTAATATAAAGTTACATCCTGTAATTTATAGATGAGTCATTATTCCAAGAGTTGTTTGAACCATTGAATTGTTTTTTGTTTTTTTTATTTATTTAACAAGGAAAGGACTGGGAAGTAACCCAAGGTGTGTATGTGTGTCATATATATATATATATATATAGGTCTTATAGTTTGTATTACCTGGGTTACTTTGATCACTGTTTGCTATCCACTTTTGATTTGCACTACTTAAAAGATCTTTTTTCTTTTATATGTGAATTGTACACTTGAAGAAGGCTGTAGAATGGATCAGCCAAAATATTGTAGTAACAACAAAAGCAGCAAAAAGGAGTTCTAACATCTGAACAACTCCTGCAAAAATTAATATATAAAATTGTTCATCCTCTTAAAATTAGTCACTTGGTAATGCCATGTATATATTTACTGCATAAAAAATTAATTATTTAAAAAGGGAAAAATTCATATCTATTTTTTTTTCTTTTCCTATTAAGTGAATCTGTATTGTTTATAAAAAAGCTTAATAACTGATTACTACTGAAAACCCCAGTTGAGTCCAGTCAATACTTAGTTGAGGGACTGCTTGGGAATACCAGATACTGTAAGCAACCCCCTACAATCTGAAATATGATTCAGCTTTAAATAACCCACAAAGAGTTAGTAAATCATAAAAAAACAAATTGATCAATAATAACTGATTATATTTTTGCAATAGTAAACATTATCCCACAGTTAACTAGTAGGGTAGATTGCACTCTCTAACCTTGGATGGCAACTAGTCTATGTGAAAAGATATATGAATGTAAAACTATACCAAAGACAGTTGGAAAATCCATCTATTATTTTCCCCTAGAAATCCTGGCAGTTCATAAATAATAAAGAAAAGCAAAATCTGTGAAGTGTCAGGATCACTTATATCATGAAGAAATAGGTCATTAAAAAAGGAAAAACATTTGATTTCTAAAATTTGCTTTTTCTGATGTCTTTAACTGCTGGCATGAAGTCTGTTAGAGATTTTTATATATCTGTCTCCATTTTGTCATCAAATGATAAAAGTTTTAACTATTTCCCTATTAGTAAAATGACATCTGTATTGCGATGAAATACTAAAAGAAACGGAATTAGTTTGGTAATTATTACACAACGCACTTTATTGTCAATATTTATCAAATTTAGCTTAGTACAATAAATGGCTAAAGTTCTTGCATCTTGGTGTAGTTATTTTTAATCTAATTATTTTTTTCATGGAATATTTAAGATGAGGACTTATCATTATTATATGCTTTGCTATTTGTACCAACATCCTCATCTTGGTTGTTACACTCCCAATGTTTTGGCTGCTATACTCTCTGGTCTTCTTCAGGTATGTTTTTGCACATAACCTTTTTTTGAATTTTGAACTGAATTCTTCCTTCAATCCACAGGGGTGAATTGCTATCATTCTGCTTTCCATGCTTATGGGAGATAACTCCAATCAGTTAATACTCACCAGTCTTATTCTACTTTGCGTCTAATTATTCAAGTTAAACTACTTGAGAAAAATGTTGCAAAGAAAGGAGCATTGTACTTTCAGACTCTAATTGCACTGAATTATCTTCAGAAATAAATGTTCCGCATAGCCATGGGCACTTAAGTATGGTAGACTTGATCTCCTTTGTTTTTAAATTGTTAGGAGGTAAAATTGGGATTGTGTTAACACCACTACTTAAGTACACTGGTCCACATGTCAAAATAAGACTGATTTTTTTTTTTTTCTCTTAAACAATTTAGGAGTTCCCTATTTATATTGATACAGTGTCAAATTGATCTCTGACTTTTACAGAGTTATTAGACTTAAGCTATGTCACTTAGCACAGTTTCAAACTTGACATTTGTAAATAACAGCTAAGATCATTGATATATGCATGCTTTTTTAATTTCCTGAATTTTTAACCTTTTTTAAAAAAAAAACTTTAAAATCTCTTTTTTCAGGCTCTTAATTATTTATCTTAAATGAAGAATAAATGGATACATAATTTTATTAACATATGTAATTTTTTTTACTTTAATTACACATGTATATATCCATTTGTTCTTAATTTTAAAAATCTTTTTGTAATCCCCCCCCCATAATTTTCATACACAAAACCTCTAAGTCAAATAAATCTGTAAAAGTTTGACACTGTTGATATTATAAACAGGAACTGCCTTCTAAATCAATAAAAAAATCAATATTTTATTCTGACAAATGTCACAGCTTAAGGACAATCTGCATAATGCTAATCTACAGAAATTATTTTAATAAATTTTTTTTTTCCTTATTTTTTACGAATGGACCAGTTAATATAAGTAATACCATGTTAACTTAAAATTTGCTATTAATTGTAATCTGAGAGAAAAGCAAGAGAGTTAGTCTTGTGCAGGCATATATTAAACAGCAACATACACAATCTTTACAAACCTTTAATAAAAAATTTCAACCATTTTCATCCTGATGCAGTCAACTCTGTTGGTTCTTCAGCTAATGTAAAGTCTATACAATATTTGATTAATGGCTAAAACCAACATCTGTTGGGAGGTTACAGCAGATGATGAAATTATTGTAGTGTAATATAAGAAGAATGATGAATTTCATCTATATATTGTTTTTATTGTCATTGGAACATAATTTTTGTTTGTAATATGAACCATGCAACACATCCATAACTTATTTTGTGTTCATCCAAATTCTTGTTGCTGATATGCTGTGGAATCTTTCAGTTGAGATGTAAATTGTTTTGAGTTTTTTCTCAATGATCTGCTTACTGGAGTCTGAGTTGACTACAGTAACCAGATAATCAGATTGTGAAAAGGAAGTAAGCCATTTACTGATGAAATTGCCAAATGAAGCCGTAAGTTCTATGTTAATTGTTTCTTCTCTTGCACTTCTCACTCGGGAAATCTCTTCTAGCTTCTTGCTTTCTTATCAATTAGGATCTTCAAAAATTTAAATGCAATGGCAGTTGTCGTCAGTTTTGAAACCTGTTCTTTTGTCCTTTCTGCTCAATAACATTTTCTTTGTTTCTTTTACTCTCAGTAATCACTTGCATCTTAGTGGCTTTATCACCTTGCTTGGGATTATGATTAAAGAAGAAAAAAATGGTGGTCTAATCCACACACATGTAACATAGGTGGTGGGGGTGTACATTAAGAAATATTTTTCTATTCTAAGCATAGTTTTGTTTCCATTTACTAGTAGTAGACATAATAGTCTTGTCTGTTAAACGAATCATTGCTATTATTTATTTTTTTCACTAGTTTTACTTTTCATCTAATTTTTCAGTTTTATTTTACTGTTTTTTTTTTTTTGTCGGATCATTTTAGATTTTATAAAGTTTAAACAAGCAAAATGAATTGAAAATAAAAATAAGGTTGAACTTTCACCCCTCTTTTTTTGGAGCCCCTCTGACATGGGCAGCACCTTCTTAATGATTAGGTTATGAAAAGCTAACCAGCAGATGTTATTCAAATTTAATCGAAAAGAGATTTTTAAAAATTAGATGAAAAAAAGTAAAAAAAAAAATAAAATCATGACAATGCTTTATCTAAGAAATTCAAACTTCTTAAAACTATAACTTTTACTACTACTACAACAAGGTGTAAATCAACAATATGGCCTAAGATAATCAGATAATGAGTCAAATAATGAAAAAAATAGCTATATGACTAAAATTGAATATTGGCTGGTTAGCTTTTGTAGTCTAATCAACAAGCTACTGTTTAATCAAACAGGTTTCCAAAGATTAAAAAAAAAAATAGAAGTTCAAATCTCATTAGAAGTGACTCCTTTATTTTTTTTTATCCATGTTTTTTTAATGGCTATAGAATGTATTAGGTTTGTGCAAAAATTAGGTATTTTTTCTACTGTTTATTCAGTCTCTCCTTTTTAATAATAATAATAAAAAAAAAAGGAGTTAGGAAGTAATAAAATGTCCTGAGCATTGTGATAAAAAGCAACAAAAATAAGATGAAATAAATAAAGAAATAATTTTGTAATTTTAATTTTTTTTCTATAAAATTTTTATTAATGGTGCTTTAATCTCATTTAAAGCAGACAAGGTAGTTTTATTATTATTATTATTATTAATATTTGGTGACCAGATGCTTCCCAGACTGACCTCATGTTTTGATAATATTTACTTTGACTATAATAGAAAGATTTTCTTATTTTTTGTCTTTTTCAGAAAGTCCCTGATTAACTGTTGCAAATTAAATTTAACAATATATAAATTTTATTTTAGTTTAATTTTCTTCATAAAGTACTATTATATTTCATATTTGAATGTTTTCTCATCATGATGACTTTGTCTATATCAAAAACTATATTTGATAAAATCGTTTTCCCCTTACTTGCATATCTTTCTGAATTTGAAATGTTAGTTTTTCAAATACATCTATATCGTGTTTTTTTGTTTTGTTTTTTTTTTTAATCAGTAATTGAAAATTTAAACGATTCCTATTAAAGACCTGTAACAGTTCTACAGATTTTCAGTACTAACAAACTAATATTTTTTTTTATTTAATGAAATTAATATTTTTCTTGCAACTTCATAATCATTATTTCTTGATAAGAAATCTAAGTTTCATATTTATATTTTTTCTAATTTCAGAAGTGGGAACAGGCAAAGATAATAGCACTGAGGTAAGGCTAAATGCAACCTTGTCTAATTCTGTTAACAATCAGTGATATCGTTAGGTTGATGCAGAAGTTTTTTTTGTTTTTCTGTTATCCATTTGCAAGCAGCTGACAAGAACTCTCAAAAATTTTCTTTGCCTTGGATTTTCTTAGTGGTAGTGAATCAGATACAAATTTCATACAATTTGTAGATGTTTGATGAATTCCAAGAGTTATTTTGACTATTGAACTCATTGGGTCATTTATATTGTCCGCATAGTTTTCAGTTCACTTTGGTCGTCTGACAAATAAATATTCAATGTAGATTTTAACATGGTTTTTTGTTGCTCAGCATGGAAAGAGTATGGAATTCTTTGTACGATAAAGAAAGGAATTGACAAAATCCTCATGAATTACACAACTTGTAGAAAATAAAATCTATATTATTTATGTAGATGTTCACAGAAATGTGAACATTTAGAATTTTATGTTTTGTACTCCTAGAAAAAAAAATCTTTTTCTATACAGAAGTCTGTAAAATGGATTGGCCAAAATGTAGGAATAATCCAAATAGGACCAAGAATGAGACTTCAAACAACTCTTAGAATGATGACTATTATCAAAATTATTGAATTCTTAATGAGCTTGCCTGATTTTATTAAATTGGATTTTATTTCTAATACAGCCTTCTCATGAATGAAAGAAAAAAAAAATCTTTAAATGTAGCCTATTACTTCATTTTTGATTTCCTAAAATCATAGAAATTAATGGATGCATTACATTTAAAGATATTATTCTTTCATTTATAAGAAAATGAGAATTTTTTTTTTATTTGATTTCATAAAAGAATTAAGCAGTTAAAGGATTTTATCTTTGTTTGATGTCAATTTTTATTTTCTTTCTAGGCATCAACAGATAAATCTTTACTGGATCCAAATCGATGTGAGAGTTGCTATGGAGCAGGAGATACATTAGACAGGTAGGATAGATGATATAGTTGAATTCAATTAATATCTATGATTCGTTTAAACTTGATTTTGGGCATCCAAGGTAGAGTATCTTTGGAATGAACCTACCATCTTTCTTTTTTTTTTTTTTTTTTTTTGCTGACCAACCAGATATCTTGTAAAGAATTTCTTTGTATCAGGATGGCTGATGGAATATATCACAAAGAAATTTCTTCCTTCAGCAGTGAACTGAATTCAAGGCAATTTGTAGATGGAAATGAAAGCAATGATTTTCCTAGCAGGATATTTCACCATTGATTAGTATATGGAAACCTAAAGGTGAATGAGGAGAGACATTTTTCACTAAAATATTTCTTAAAATCCCACTCCGAGATGTTTAAGACATTTTTTCTTTCTATTTTGATTTAATTTTAATTGATCAAAGTTTTTGAAACGGACATTTTTTTTCTAACTTAAAAAGCTGATTATTAAACTAAGGTTTGATAAAATATTTTTCTTGTAACATTTGGTCTGCTCTGAATAAAACCATTTTCATTTTTGAGAAAAATTAAGTTTTAAAAATTACATTGAAATGGCTTGAAAGTTGTGGTTCAGTTTACAATATATATCTATATATATCTATAGTTAAATTTCCCAGAATAATTTTGAAGATAAGACAAATTGGTTTAAAAATGACATTTGGGAAAAAATTCTTAGTTTTTGCCAATGTGTTTTGTCTTCTGACTTTATCAAGGCAAGCAATGAAAGTGAACATTTTGTTGCCATAGTTCCATCAAATCCAAAGTTTAAAAAAAGAGACATTCCTGTGTAAGCCTCTTTCTGGATATTGGTAACTTACTTTTTACTAAGTTTTTTGTTTTCCATGTCGAAAATATAGTTAAATTTCTCAGAATAATTCTGAAGATAAGACAAATTGGTTTAAAAATGACAATTGGAAAAAATATGGGCCTCTTTTTTTTTTAAATTTTGGATTTGATGTAACTATGACAACGAAATGTTTCACTTTCATTACTTGCATAAAGTCATAAGACAAAATGCACTGGCAAGAGCTAAGAATTTTTTACAATTGATATTTTTAAATCACACACACACACATATATATATATATATATATATATATATATATATATATATATATATAATGCAAAATCGAACTATTACTTTGTGTTTGTCTTTATTCTTATGCAAATGTGTATAATTTAAAAATCTGCAAAACTAAGTTTTATTTTCCATGGGAAATAATAACTTATAGTTAGTTTTTTTTTTTTCTCAATATTATGAATTAACAGAAAAAACCTGCTACTTGCACAAAGGGCCCAATTAAGCATTTACATCTCTCTCTTTTACACACACACACATATATATATATATATATATATATATATATATATATATATATATATATATATATATATATACACACACACACAGTAGCGTCCAAAACTAAGGGACAAAATTTTAAAACCTAATATTTGTTAGAAATAACAACTGTGAAAAGCTGAAATTTTGACAACTGGTAGTCGTTATCATCCATAATAACATACTAAAATTTGAATCATTTGCAAAGGATAGAAAAAGAATTATAACAATTATTTATTTATTTTCAAAATAGGATCGTCCAAAAGTAAGGGACAAAATTGAGAAAAACAATGTAAACAGTATGTTATATTCAAATTTTTTGATTTCCTCTAAAGAATAAGTCTTACTTAGTCATTTGTAAACGTTGCATCAGCCGGCACCATGGCGAAATGCCAAAAACTTGATTACTCTGTGAGACAAGCTATTGTGAAGCTACACAAGGAAAAGCACACCATTAGAGAGATTTCAGAGAAAGTGAAACGTTCCAAGAGTGTTGTAGGCAGGGTTGTTAAATCCTACAATGATACTGGCAAAATAGTGCTTTTAAAACCGGCAGACCCAGCAAAACTTTGGCAAGAGAAGATCGAATAATGCAGCGTATGTCATTAAAGGACCGTTTTAAGTCTTGCACAGAAATTAAAAGGGTTATGAATAGTACCTCATGTGTTAATGTGTCAAGACAGACTGTTTGTAGACGACTGCAAGAAATAGGGCTGTTTAATCGAACCCCAGAGAAGAAACCACTTGTTAGTTCGAAGAATAAGAAGAAGAGATTAGAGTTTGCAAACAGGTATGTAATTTGGACATATGAAAATTGGGCAAAAGTATTTTTCAGTGATGAAAGCAAGTTTAATTTATTTGGAAATGATGGAAAAAAAAAACAATGTAAAGAGACATATTGGTGAAAGATTAAGTGCAAAGTGTACTAAGAAAACTGTCAAGTTTGGGGGCAGAAGCGTCATGGTATTTGGAATGTTTTCTAGCCAAGGTACAACGCCTCTTGTCCGGTTACAAACTCGTGTAAATGCGCAGATCTATAAAAACATTGTTCAAGATCATGTTGTGCCAATCATACAGAATTCAGGTTTCGATAGGGCTACCTTTATGCAAGATAATGCCCCATGTCACAAAGCAAAGGTGGTAATGAGTTACCTTAGCGAGCAAGATTTGGAAATTATGGATTGGCCACCGCAAAGTCCTGACTTAAATCCAATAGAAAATCTTTGGAAGACCTTAGGAGTGAAAGTTATGGAAAGAAATCCCACTAACACAGAGGATTTGTGGGTGAAGCTTCAAGAAGAATGGTCTAAAATTAGTATCGAGGATTGTCAAGAACTGATTCGTTCTTGTAGTTGAAGATGTGCAGCTGTCATTGAGAGCAAGGGCTCATTTACTAAATATTGATTGTACATGTATTTTTATTGTTTTTTTGCCGTTTACATTGTTTTTCTCAATTTTGTCCCTTACTTTTGGACATTCCAAATTTGAAAATAAATAAATAATTGTTATAATTCTTTTTCTATCCTTTGCAAATGATTCAAATTTTAGTACGTTATTATGGATGATAACGACTACCAGTTGTCAAAATTTCAGCTTTTCACAGTTGTTATTTCTAACAAATATTAGGTTTTAAAATTTTGTCCCTTAGTTTTGGACGCTACTGTATATATATAGAGAGAGAGGATGCCGTCTGTGTGATACCATTTCACTTGGGATCCATCCAACCGATTTTGACTAGACTTGTCAAATACATTGTACAATGTAAGAGATGGGTTCTTAGTGTAAAAAAAAAAAAAAAAATTGATAAAGCTGATCAAAAATCAATAAATTCAACTTTTTTTTTCTACAATTTTTTTCAAACTCAGTATGTTGGTTACTTACATCATGATGAGCTCAATGATAGCTTATTTTTATTTCTACATCACTGCGTTTAGTGAGAAACCATGAAAAGCAAAAATTGATTTCCACACAAATTTTAAACTAAAAACTCCCTCAATTTTCAAGCAATCTAATACAACCTTCACTCAATTGTAGCCACCAATAAGTTGATTGTTTAACAGTCATTTAATTTGATAATTGAGTTCATCCATATAGTGAAAACCCGTGTAAATAGCAAAAAATAGCAATTTTTACTGATTTCTTATTTTCTTTTGATTTTTCAACCAATTTTCATCACTTAACAATTGCTTTATAAATGTATCCTCGTTTACATCCCTGGTAGAACACTAACAAGACGAATTTCAAAAACTCCAAAATAATTGCGGACTGAATTGGGTCTTCATGTTGCCTGTTTTACCCCTTCATGTCCTCAGCTAACTTCAGTTGAATAAATACAGACTACTTCTGTTATATCAGTAACTGCATGTTTTTTAATGAAAGTACTTTAAAGTTATTGAAGAAGATAGACTGTTACATCTAAATATGATGCTGTTTTTGTTCCACTCTAATTGAATGCTTTTTCTGATTGACCAGCTGCTAGTTTTAAGTAAAAACAACTTCATCTCTGTAAGAAATGGAGGTAGTATTTATTCAAAGGACATAAGAAAAATATTTTGTACAAAACTTCATAATGTTTAACTAAAATGTTTCCTCCAAGTATTTTTATGTAAACACTTTGAATGAAAAATTTCCTTTTAAATAGCTTGCTAATTTTACATCTGCCCATTTAGGGTTTTATGAGGTGAGTGAAATGCAGAGTATAAAGATTGTGTTTTGACAAAGCCTTTAAGTGGAGTGGGCCTACTTACCTTTTAAAATAAGTATTCTAGATCCTGCTTTTTGCCTGAGCTTGAACACGGACCATCAGTTTTGTTCAGAAAAAGTACAACTATTTTAACAACAAAGTAGAGCTTTTGTTTCTTATTGCTATTTATATTATCACCATTACAAAATTTGCTGGTTATTTCCAGAAGCCTTTGTCAACAAATGTTCACAAATATAAGGTGCGACAATTTACTTCCCACAATGACCCTGCGAAAGCCAAGTTGGCTTATTCTCTATGTGAAGCTATGATGCCATTTTTCAGTAGTATAGCCACATGTTGCTAGATGTCAGGACATTTTTCAATTTTGGAAATAAAAAAAAATTACAAATTAAGGTAATGGCACATTTTTGTAATGGGTTTCTTAACAGGAATTTGGAAACTAACAAATAATGTACAAGAGCATTGTCATAGTGGAGAACCCACTTGTAAAGCCAAGAATTTGGATCTTTTCTGCCAAAGATTATCAAAACCCTTTCGGTATTTACAAATAAATATGATTAGCAATTTGTTCTCATGCCTAAAATTCATAGCATAAACAAAGAAATGAAAAGCATGATCTTGAACTGCAAGCTTAACATGTATGCATTTTTTTTTTTTTCAGTGAATTCTTTTCCACTGTGTACTCTGGTATTTTTGTTTCTGGGTCGTGAAAACTGACTTTTATCATCAGTAACAACCTCTTGTCAAGTGTGTCTTCATTATTCAAAACAGCAGATCAAACATGAAGTCATACACACATCAGTAAAGATTCAAAGTAATTTCATTGAGGAAATTCTTCTCATTCGCAAATCCACTTGTAGAATTTGCCACACTGATTCCTTTTTCCTCTTTAGGTCTTCTATTACTTGTACACTTGATCTTTGATCTGAGCATATCAAAATTCACTTTGTCCATAATTAGTGTTTTGGCTTCCCACTTTTGTCATTGTGCACATCTTGCCATTCCTTGAACTACCTGTAGCACTTAAAAATGCTATTTTCTCATATGTTCATCAGAAACTATTTTAATAGGGCTAACACTTCACCAGCACTTTTACCAATCTTTGCACAAAACTTGATATTAATCTGCCGCTCCAGATTCCTGTTGCTCATTTTCTGCCAATAGCATAACAGGAACATTTACAACTTTCTCTTTTGCTCGGTAACAAATGAACCATCTGGTCTGCTTATTAAGGAAACAAAAGTTGGAATATTTCCAGACGTACATTCCTACAAATGCTGCAGTCATTCTGGGAATCAAATTGTTATACCTCATATGCTTTGATGTTTCTCTTACCTTGGATATTTAAAATATAGAGCTCAAAATAAGACCATCCACTGCTAGGCAGAAACTGAATCTAGTGTGTGACAATGTCAATAACTGACTTATAATTTTTGTTTCAGTTGCTGCAATACATGTGAAAGTGTGAGAGAAGCTTATCGTAAAAAAGGTTGGGCTTTCAAACCTGCAGAAGTGGAACAGTGTAAACGTGAAGGTTGGGATGAGAAGCTCAAGAAACAAATGAACGAAGGTTGTCAATTATTTGGAACACTTGAAGTCAATAAGGTAAGAATAATTCCATTAAAAAAATCATTTTCTATTATATAAGAAATGGAGAAATCAGTCGGTAAATTATATAACTATGTATTTAAAATCTGTCATGAAGTAAAAAAAAAAAAAAAAAATAGTCATCTTCTAACTTTTTATATATAGGAATATTATTTTTCAATGTTCCAAATAAACTTAAGTTTAACAACCAAATTGAGATTTTTGTATTGAGACCTGTGAAATGATTAGTGATTGATAAAATAAATAGTAATCAACCCAAAATCCGAAGAGAATGTCTGCACTGAAAATTAGTTTGGATTTTATTTTCTTATTGTATTCCATAAAATTTTTTTTTTTAAATTTCTGCTTCAATGAAATAATTCCAATTTTGCTTTGAGGTTTTCAATAAGCATCTTAGAAATTAAAAAGCTGTTTTCTAAAGCATCGAGTAATTGATTTTTTTTTCTGCAATTTTTGGTTAATACAGGCAATTAAAATTTGAAAGTCTATTCTGTTCATTTGAAGTATATTTAAAATTAATCTAGCTTATGTGATACAATATCAGAAAGTCCTCAGATTGTATATGCTATGATTGTACCATTCAACAGAATAGCTTGCAGCTAACTTATTGCTACCTAGCCTACTAAATAAGTTTCACAAACTTCATATTATCAACTCGAGTTCAATTATTACATAAGATTGAGTTAGTTCTAGGATCTTTTATGATGTCTGATTTGACAAGGTTGAGCAAGATGCCTACATTGTATAGAGCTCAGCAAATCTTTCAAACAGCCTTGAAGTGCTTTGTCAGGCTTTTGGCAAACCTTTTAACACAGTCTCACCCTTTTAAATCATCAGCAAACATGGGAGGTGAGGAATGCCATCATTCAATTCTGTGATGTGCCTGAAACCATTTATGGAGTCTACCCAGAGATCCTAGGATCTTTCTTATACCACCACGTGTGCATAATATATATATATATATAAAATGGGCTAAAAGTTACTTTACTATAACACTTAAGTTTCAACTTCCATCTGTATATAACACATGTTAATAAAATATTATGGTCATGTAATTTTGGCTCAGTGTGTGTACTATATATATTTGGTACACTCATTTTTGTAATCCAAGATGCTTGTATTTAAAATGGGTCCCACCATTGAGATACTCTGTCTGTCTGTCTGTCTATATATATATATATATATATATATATATTCATCTTTAAATATTTTTCTATCATTTTTTTGTTTTTTTTCTTTAACAAGGTTGCTGGAAACTTCCATTTTGCTCCTGGTAAGAGCTTTAATCAACATCATGCACATGGTAAGTTAATATTTTCTATTAAATAACCAACGCTATCCCAGGAAAAAGAAAAAAAAGACAAATTAGACAATGAATGGATTATTTAAAGGTGAAACGCTAAAATTGCTTAAAAAGCTTTTTTTTTTTTATTTACAGCAGTTAAGTTTATTGGTCAACATAGAAAATATTATTTGAGAGCCCATTTTTTCCCCATGTTTAGAGAGAGAGAGAGAGAAAAAGTTTTTTTTTTTTTTAAATACATATGTGAAAATGTTATGTTAGTTAAAAAACATTTTTATGTAGTTAATCTCCATCAACCCAAGAATTTAATTTTTTTTTTTTTTTTTAAATTCAGTGCTAGAATATTGAAACTGCCAATTTTGATATGTCAAAGACAAGCTGTAAATTACTCCATTTAAGTGAAAAGATGAACAAAAAATTGTGTGCTAAGGTTATAAAATGAATATTCACATTTTTATTCTCATATAGTTATATAAATTTGTTTTATTGTGCATAAATAAATCATTTTATCATAGATTATATTTCATGTCATTTGCAGGCAGTAATAAAACAGTTATTGGTCGGATTTGAATTAGACCAAGAAACGATTGTATTAAAAAGTGCTCAATGCATGTATAAAGAAAATAAAAATTAACCTGCAGAGCTTTTAAACTTAAAGAAAAAAAAATAAATTAGGAGATCAGCCAATTACATTACCCTGGTTTCAACCTTTCAGTATCCTCAGGCAATATGGGCCAAATGATTTCCTAATGCTTTACTCGCAATATGGGCCAAATGATTTCCTAATACATAAAGACACTGAAGTGTTAATAGAAAGGGAAAAGAAAAGAATTGAAATTATATTGGATGGGGAGTAAATATAAATATACATACTTTCATGCGGTAGATATTTGTTGGTCTGGAAACATTAACTTTTCCTCCTGGTACAGTTTGCAGATATCAATATAATTTTTTTTTTTTAAGGATTTCAAGTTTCAATCAGGTCTTTATTTTTTTTCTTTTAATTCCCACACATGACTGGCTAATCTGGTAGAATTCCTAAAGCTTTCTAGCTTGAATGATTTGTGATTATACCATCTCTTCTTGAAGCTGCTTTATGTATATTTTGCTCTGGCCATTTCTCTCATTTACTTCAGTTTTGTGAATTACCTCTTCCATTTTACAAACTCTATCTAGTGGACATTTACCTTTGAAAAATATTTTCCCTATTTTACATTTGAAATAATAAACCAATATTTTTTTTCTTTTCCTTGAATTATTCTTCATTTGTTTTCTTCGTTTAAAGTCTTTTCATAGGGGGCATAAAATAAACTGGAATTTAAACATAAATAAAATGATAGAAGAATAATTCAAAGAAAAGAAAAGAAAAAAATATTATTTGGCTTAACTCCCACTTCTAGTTTAGAGGTCAAATGTAAAATAGGGAAAATATTTTTCAAATTGCTTAATAAACACTTCCCCCAAAAATTCCAAATTACACAAGAGCTTTAATAAAAAGACAGTTAAATTAAGCTACAGCTGTACTAGTAATATGAAAGCTATAATAAAAAGATAAACTGACAGGAATTTCAAAGATAATGTGCAGTAAGATATTGTTAACAGTGAAACCCGTAACTGCAAAGATGTTCACTAGACGGAGTTTGCAAAATGGAAGGAGTAATTTACGAAGCCAAAGTAAAATATACATGGGGTGTACTGAAGAGATGGTATAATCACAAATCAGAAAGCCTTAGGAATTCTATCAGACTAGCCAACCATGTGTGCAAATTAAAAAAAAAAAAAAAAAAAAAAAAATCTGATGAATGAAAGATCGGAAATGATACAATGCATACACACTAAAAAGTACTTTTTGAGTTCGTATGTACATTTTTATCTACTCCCCCTCCAATGCATTTTCAATACTCTTGCTTTTCTCCTCCCCTTCTGTTACACTTCACGTTGTGCATTTATATATAAATAATTAAATGTTAGGAAATCATTTGGCCTGTATCAGCTGAGGATACCGAAAGGTTGGAAAAAAGCAAGGTAGCATGATTGGTTGATCTTATAATTTTTTTAAATACATGACAAAAAACATTTCTGGTTTGGTACTCTAGCTCCAGACATCTGCTGAGGCAAGTGGTCTTAGAATGTACACGCCCGGTCAACTGTATATTTCAAAGTCAATCATTTTCAAGTTTTATTGTTGTTGGCTTCCTAATTATTTCATTCTTTATAAACAAAATGCCCAAAAATTGTACAAATTCTCCACACGTAACAAATTGTCCTTCATACTATAAAGAATGCATTTAGAAAATATATATATATATATTTTTTTTTTTATTTGATTTTGTTGGGTTTAAATAAGATTTCATTGACTCCACATCAATTAGATAATTGTAGAACATTGTCAGAATTAAAATGCAGACACTGCCTCACTTTAGTTTTTATAAAGATTTATTGTTTCAAAACTTTTTGATAACCTAGTTGAACCAATTTTCTTTTTTCCAGTTCATGATTTACAGTCTCTTGGAAGTCAAAAGGTAAGTGTTTATTATTTTTCAATCAATCAGAAATAGTTTTTACATAAAGAATAAACATATAAAATGTAATTCTAGGCTTCTAAAAACCTTCAGAAAATTTTGGTTGGAATGAGTCCAAGCATTTCCGAGAAGCAAATGATTCTAACTCATTTTTCTTGGAATTTGAGTAAAATAGAAAATCCTATTTTAATTTAGATAATTATGCACACAGGATTGAACAAGATGAAAGTTAACTGTAAATACTCAAAACAATTTAAAAAAAAAAAAAAAAAATGAATTCATTCATTGCTGGATACAATTTTCTTTACTCAAATTTATTTTAGTCATCAGCAGAAAATTGGTTTTTTTTCTTTAATTTTTAAGAAATTTACTCAGAATTTCTACATATTTGAGATTTCCAGCATCCTTTTTTTTATTGGGAAAATCTTTTATTTATATAAATTTATAGCCTCATTATTCAATTTTCAAAGCATCTTCTGATTTTTTTTTTTTTAACGCCATCTCTCAATTTAATTCAATGAATTCTTGGATATTTCAGAATTGTTAAACTGCTGACTTTCATCATAGTTCCATGATCATTTTCAGACATTGGTTGATTTCTGTGCTTAGAAAAAGTTCCCCCATTTCATATTTCAAAGATTCCTTTTAATATTTAGCAAGAGGTAGATAGTACTGGTAACATCACCATAATTATCTAAATTCCTAGGGGAAAAATATCTGTAAGATATATAAGTTTTCTGAATCTGGTACATAGATAAGTAAATTTTCCAATGGTACTGAGAAGTGTGAAAATCTAATTTGCATTTGAGCTTTAAATAATTTCTTTGGAGAAACACTTGACAATCTGAAATGTTTTTAAATAATTAATCTAACTATGCTCTTATGATTTCAGTTTAATATCAGTCATAAAGTCAAGACTTTATCATTTGGTGACCCTTATCCAGGAATTATTAATCCTTTGGATGGCACTCAGGTAATTGCAGAAGCTGGTAAGTATCATCATTTTCTTTTAAATTCTTTTTTCTTAATTTCTGGTACATTTCCAAAAGGGACAAATAAAAATGTAGATCAAAAAGAAATTGTTAAATAACTCCAGGAAAAAAAAAAAAATTATTTAAAGAGGATGTCTTCTATGATGAGCTGTTGGTCTGTTGTTGTAACTCCTATTGCAGCTGCCCTAGGAATTGATCACTTAAAAATAATTACATATTCATTAAGGGTCAACATCTAATGCCTGTGCCAATTGCCATAAATGTTCCAAAAGTTCCTCCCCCCTGTACCATTGTCTTGCCAACATTCTGAACTAATTCTCGGCCTCTCAGTCCAAACCTGTAAAAAGAATAGAAAATAATATCAGGAATAATTTTGTTAGTTAATTCTCTCTTTATTATTAACAGTGTCTGCCAGTTTATTTAGGCACATTACCTCCTACTAAAAAAAAAAAAACTCAAACTGTACAGAATAATCTACAGGAAGCCATTTTATTTATTTTTTTTATAGCATTCAAGTGAACTTAATTTTTTTTTTTCAAGATTAGATTTTGTAAAAAACCACTTACCTATATATTTTTTTTTAATTACACAATTTACAGACATCAAATAAAAAGAAGCTGTAAGCATCTCCCATGAACAGTTACAAACATTATTTTAACATATGCAGTCTATAATGACACACATATTTGTTAAAGAAATGATTATATACAATTTCTATGGCAGGTAGTGAAATCGAAATGATCTAATTTAGTGAAACAAGCATAACTATTATTGCATGGGTAAGTTAAATCTTCTGTAGAATGGATTGTGGAATAAGAGTAACCTATCACACACTGCGTTAAATAAAATGTTTAGTTTGAAATTCAAAGAACGCTACTAAGTAATTGAAGAGGAACCTGAAAAAGATGAACAGGTACAATGACCAAAATGTGGGAACCAGTTTGAATAAATAAGTATGATGACTAAATCTAGCTTAAACATGATCCATGTATTTACCTGAGAGCAGAAAATCCGCCAAATAATGCACCTGATGCCATTCCCACACACATACCAATCATAAAACCAACTTTGACACGATCAAAACAGCTAACACCCCCAGCCATTGCAGAAAATCTGTAAATAAGAGTTAAAATAATTTGACAAATATTTCAGAAATCTTAAGATAAATATAAACTTTTAATTTACAAAAAAATCATAACTTATCTGGCAATGTGTTGCTTGCTTATTTTAAGGCAAAAATCATTAATAGCTAAAAAGAAAAATAATATTAATATATATTAAAAAAGACTTGTCTACAATTAAAAATATAACAAAAGCAATTTCAGAATTGATGTTTGAATTAACACTTGCAAATGACTTATTAATTATGGATTAGCAAATCAGCAATACTTTCTTAAGAGCGAACTTCAACAATATTAATGATGAAAAAAAAAAAAAAAAAGTTCATTCACGAATTTTTCAAATTAAAGAAAACGTTACTAGCATCAGAAGAAAAATTAATACCCCCCCAAACTATACTCTAGTTTTATACATTTCATTGTTTGAGAATTATTAGAACTAATTATATATAAACATAAAACAAGTGTAAAAAGGTTGATATTAAAACTATTCAAACAAGATTTATAGATTACCTAAAGTCTCCAGTCATAAGAAAATTCTATGAGGCTGTAAATTCTTTTTAGAATATTAATCTGAATCAATCAACCTTCTTTTATAAATAATACCAGTCACTTATATTACTAGGGTTCATATGATTGCTAACCTAGAATCAGATGACTTAACATCAAGAATGTTCAGATCAAGGAATGTGGAACTGGCAAGTTGAATTCAATCGATTCTTGTCATGTTCACTTTGAATTAATGCCCTTGAGAAAGGCATGAATTCATCTGAGCAGGACTTGAAAGCCAGATTTAGCTACCAAGTCTATGACAACTATAAATTCAAATTCTACTCCATTAAAAGATCTACTGAAAGCAAAGCAACTTCACCTTATCTAGTGGTGGCGTTGTAGCTATATGCTTCAAAGGGAGCCTACAGGTTTAAGAATCAGTTTTATGAGCGAATCATCAAATGGAAATCCTCTTTAGTTGCTTTATTCACACATCTATTAGCCTAGATTTCTGAATAGTAAATACACTGGCCAAAGTATCTTAAAGCTAATTTGGATAGCTCTGATAACAGCATTTGTTTTTTTTGTTTTTTTTTTTAACTCAATTTATTCCCTCTTAACTTACAAGAGTACTTATTTTTTTACTACACTGACTGTATCAATTATCCAGCTGAAAGGAAGATATAAAATACACTAAATTCTCTCAATATGCCAGTGAGGAAAGGAGTTTAGACTTCAGTAAAAAAGAGAGAAAAAAAAAATTATCTTGCATTATTAAATCAAAGTTTATTGACCAAATTGGAGATATAAAAAGAGAAACACTTAAGATTTAATATACTAAAAAAAAAAAAAAAAAATTGCTAAGGAGCAGTTTAACAAATTTAGGTTTTAACATGTTTTGGGAGTTACATTTTTTTTTTTTAAAAGAAAAAAAAAAAAAAAAAAAAAGTCACTGAACTTTTTGAATCTTGTTATATCGTATTTCAGTTATGTGTGTTAAGTAAATATAATGAAAAATAAATTTGATTATTTTCAAAGCAAACTGTACACATTTTTAAAGTGAACCGGAAAAGATTATTCCCTAGAAAATGATTGCATGCCTGGATTCTGTTGGCCATCACATCAGCTTTCAGTCTTTGACATTAGGGAGAGGGGAATACTGTTTAGCCTCTCCTCCTCTATACAAGGGATTAGCTTCCAAAGAGTTAGTTTACTGTGTCGGGCTAAACAATTTTTTTTTTTTTTTTTTTTTTCGTTTTCCTCTCTCACATCTATAAGTCTACCATTTGGTTCTCTCTGGTGAGTAATAGAGAGCAGTTTTGTTTTTGAGGCATTAAAGTTGACCAGCCAATTCCTGCCCCAGTCCACAACCGATTGGAGGTCCTTTGAGACAAACGGACAGATTAGTTTTGTCGGCAACACTAGATTTGTTTTTGAGGCAGGAGTAAATAGTAGTGTTGTCAGCATATATGCCTACTTGGGAACTGATGACATCAGGAATATCGTTAATGAAGATAAGGAACAGAGTAGGGCCTAGGATAGAGCCGTGGGAAACATCTGCGTTTGTGGGACAGGAGCTGGAGCAGAATCTGTTGAGAACGACCTTCAATGCACAGTTTGACAGGAATAATTGTATTAGGCTGAACAACCAACCTGAGATGATGCCCAATACTGATGACAGGGTTATGTGTAACTCACTCAATTGAGCCTCAGTTCTAAGGAGGAAATTGGGTGTGGGTACACTGGTTGAGCATTGAATTAAATGAGAGTTTCCGAGCAAAGCATTCAGCCTTGTCGGCAGAAGAGGTCAGAACCTCAAACTGGTTGAACAAAGGAGGTATAGAGGGTTTGCTATTATTAAGTATGCTCTTGCAGAGACGCCAATAATCCTTGGAGCTGAATTTGTGAGATACTTCCATGGTAATTGCTTACGAGTTCTTCACTATGGTACCTAGAATTTTCTTTCACACTCAGTAACCCCTTGTAGCTTTACTGTCTGGCTTGGAGTAAATTCAATTAAAAAAAAAAAAAGTATGAATAAATGAAAACCATCCTCTGTAACAATTTTGTGACCAAGCAAAAGTAGTTACAAAAAATTATTTATTGTTTGCTCACGCTTGTTTACTTGGGCAATAAAAAGCAGTGATACTCATTGTCAATCTTAGCAAGGGGTGAAGGTATCAGTCATAATCAAGTTTTTGTTAGGAAGTTGTAATATTTTAAATCTGGGTCAAAGCTAACTTAGATTTGGACTTCACTGTGACTAATAGTAAAGTATTTTCTACTTTTTAAAAAAATTATTTTCTCTTGGGAATTTCCAATGATTTAATTAAACATTATGCATTAAATATTTGCATATTAGCTAGAAATATGTTGTGAGCATTATTTCATGACTTTTTGAAGTTTTTTTTAAATTTGTGGGAGGAGAAAAAGAAACAAAAGAATGCCAAATAATGTGCTTGGGATTGTTTTAGGCATTACCAAATATTTGCTATAAAATGAGAATACATGATGAAAAAAAAAAAATGCCCTTAAGTTTTGTCAAAATCTTTATTAAGTTAAGATGAAAGATCAAAAAATCTTTATTAAGTCATTTTTATTTTTTTCATTTTTGTAAGGCTTAATGTTCATAAATTCTCAAAGGACTTGTGCTTATAAGTCATCAATTTTTTTTTTTTTTTTGGTCAAACAGGACCCTAGATAGAGCTTTGAACCATAAAAAAAAAATTATTTAATTAGAAAAGCTTTTAATTGCTTTTATAAATAAGATATATTACAGACACTATTGTCTTAAGAATTTTTTTCTGATAAATAATGGCTTTTTACAAGAGTTGTTTTAATTTTTTTTTTAATTTTTATTTATAAAGTTTTAAATCTTTAAATGGAAAAGCTTACCACAATTCACCCCATCCCCAGTATTTGCATTGTGTGTATAAATGAGCCCCGGGGGGGGGGGGGTATATAAGGCCGTTCATACACAACATTAGTTACCACTCTCATGTTCTGATATAGTAAATTTAAAATTTATTGCTAATCTTTAACAAGTGTCTTCCTAAGTAAGACAAAGTACCTAAAATTCATTAAAATATTAGAATAACTGCCAAAGAAAAGTGATACCAATTTTATAGCATCATTAAATGAAAGATTATTAAATAACATATGAAATCTTGAGTTTTACAATTTATCTCCATTTGGCAAAAAATAACAATGTAGAAGCTTCATGACATTTTGGCCGTCAGGTGATTGGAATTTCAAACCAAATTCTTCATTTCGTCTGAGGTAGTTTGTTCTCATGCCTCAGTTACCTCAACTTCCCAAGCTTCTGTTCACTGCAGTAGCCAGGCAGGTATTGAACTCACATCTCTTTTGGTCAAGTCACTGGATCCAACCAACACTTTTATCCACTGAGCCATGTGTCCTGGGAGGGGACATCAGTGTATGAATTTTTGGGACTTATAAGCTTAATGGCTCATTAATTTTGCATTATGAGCTCTGGTAAGAAAAAAATGGTATGAGACATGAAGTTTAATAAGTTGCAAAAATTCATATACTGAAGCCCCCAAAGGACATGTCCTAGTGGATAAATGTGTTGGTTGGATTCAGTGACTTGGCCCAAAGAGTTGTGAGTTCAATACCTGGCGACTGTAGTGAACAGAAACTTGGAGAGTTGAGTCGAAGGGAGACAAATGAGAGAGGCATGGCACGTGAAACTAGACCGACTACTAGTGGACGAAATTAATAAAGGGTTCAATTTGAAATTCCAATAAAAATGAATATGGCAATAAACAACACTTTCCTTTTCTGAGATGAGATTGTAATTATTTGATTTGCATGTAATAAAAAATAATAAATGCCTCAAGACTTGTGAAGCGATCGGTCTTCATTTGATAGGAGGAAAACGAGGCCATAAAATTTCGATATTATATTTTTTATTCAAGTGCTAAAAATTCAAGCTTAAAAATGTTTCCATTATGACATGGGGGAGGGGAGAAGAAGAAAAAAAAAGCCGACCGAGTCAGTCAGTTATTCATTGCCGTGCGCTGCACGTTGACAAGACGACGACTTGTTAGGCTCATTTCTTTTTATTCTAAGTTATTTTTACTTTTTTTGACCTACCTATCCAGCAGATTAGGGACAAAAGTCGGTTTATCTATTTATTGTTCTTTAGTGAATCGTTTTGATTCAAATGAATGCTATTTATTTACTGTACAAATATTTTCTGATCTAACACATTTGTCAAGACCTTGTTAATTATTACTTTTAACTAAGTTTTAATTAAAACAATAGTACTTTTCGTAATTATCCCAACTTCATGTCAAATGTGTTTAAGTTTACATTCTTCCTATCTTGAAACAAAGTTGTAATTAAATGTAATCCCTACTGAAAATACATTACTTATAAAAGTAGAACTAATTTTTAAAACTATTATTTTCTTTCCAGATTTTAAAATAAATAAAAAAAAATACAAACAAACAACAAACTAAAAAGGTTACAAGGCACCGGCACGAAACCCCGACGTCCTTGTTAGTGAATAATAGTCTACCAAAATTCTGCTAGAGATTTATTTAACTGAAAACTTAAATGATAAATTTAAAACACATTTGACTGTAAGAACAATTAATTGTAAACAGGGAGGAACTTAAAAAAAGAAAGAAAAGTTTAAATAAAGAAAATCTCACAAAAAAAGCAATAAACTAAAAAAAAGTTAATTGAAAATAAGAAAACACGTGAAAAACTGAATATTTCGGTTAGATGTTCAAAAGACGAGATTTAAAATGAAATAGGTTACTTACTTATTTGCTTTTCTTAGTTTGAAAATAAATTTGCCACGTTCCAAAACACTAACAGTTGTACAAATTATTTCAAGCAAGTGAAGATATTTGTCCGTCACTCGTTCGAAATGACTTTCATTTGTGCCTACGTCACTTCCGGTTTGGGTGGCGCTCAAAAATGGGAGACAACTCGTGCCTTTGTTGTTTATTATTATTATTCACCCCCCCCCCATATCAGATCTAAACAAAATTTAATCAGTTCATCTATTAATTTACACATTGTATTTTATTAACCTTTGTTCCAAATTAGTTTCTAAAGTACATTCATAATTAAGAAAAATTAAATAAATGATTATGTTGAAATCAGGTTCATAAAAAATATTGGATGAAATTTACATTTGAATTTGACAATTTTACAAATTTCAATTGGCAGCATTGTTTTGCATTATTTGTTGAAGATTTTTATTGTATAATTATTAAACTGCTAACAAAAATAAGTCTGCATACTTACCAAGGCAATACCTACAGGTATCACCTTGGTACTTACACTTCATGGGCTTAGTCATGTTCTGTTCAACTTGAACAGAAAATGACTAGGTTCAAGTGTGTGCGTGTGGGGGGGGGGGATAGATTCTTATATCATACCTACAGAAGTAGCATTCTTTATTCAGCAAATTCAAACTTTATTTTCCTGGAATTTAAAAGTCTTTTGCTTTGTTTTGTAGAACAAATGATGTTCCAGTATTTTGTAAAAATTGTACCAACAACATATGTAAAAATTGATGGCAGTGTAAGTAATTGTTATTTGTTTATGTAGACTTTTATTTTCAGAAATATCATCAGTTAGGAAAAAAAGCATTGAATTCAACAAGATTTCAATTTACTAATCATTATTTGAAAATACATTGATTAACTTGTGAAGGAATTTTGATTTAATGCTGGCTCTTTCTCAAATCCTATTTGTCTGAATGAAAGAACAGGCTGAATTATAAATGCAGACTAGTTTATCTGTTTCTTTTTAAATTAATAATCTGGTGTGGTGCAAATGATTTCAAAACCTTTTTTTTTTTTTTTAAAACAAAAATAGCAAGTAATGATTTCTGTTTTTCCCTACTTTTGAACAGTTCACTTTAAGACGCCTTATTTTAAAATTCTTTATTGTCAGGTTATTGTTGACATCAAATCGTTCTTAGGGCATATCACCTTTATTTTGATTAGTGACAACACTTATTAAATTAAATATATCAATTAATCCTGTGTTAATCACCTCAGATTTCCAAAAATGGATAGAGCCTCCTACAACTGAGGCACAGTGTGCACTTATAAATTTGGTGGTAATTAAACACCTCATGTGACTAACAGAGGTTTTAACAATTATCATGGGACAGAGGTGTGATGGTATTGAATTTCCTTGATTTTTTTTCTTACATTCCCCCTTCACTAAGCACAACACTAAATTTATTTTTCATTTTATGGCTGTTAGGCAAGCAGCATAAATTTGGAAATCCAACAAAATTTGAACTGAATTTAAGTTTTATCTGACATAAATCTTATTGTCTAGTGTTAGGTGTAAACAAATGAAGGACATGAATTAAAATTTTTGCAGAAGCTACATCTTTATTTACAATCCATGCTGTTAAGGGAGTTTTACTTTCTGTGACTTAATGTTGAAATGAAAATGCTTTTAAAAGAATTTAGACAACCTAAGGTTGTATTAGCTTATTTTTGAAAATAAATTTCTATTGAGATTTTATTTAAAATTTAATGTATCTAAAGTTAATAAAACAAAAACAAAATTTTATGGTTGAGGGGAACTGTATTTTATAAAAGTAAATAAATTAAAAATTTTCCTTTTAGAACTTTAGAGAATTTTTCATTGTACTAAATGAAAAATTCTCTAAATGTGCTTCCAACAACTTTTATATGAAAACGCTGTAAATTTATTCTTAAATAATAGAAATGATGTACTCACAGTGAATTAGTATTGTTATTATGCAAAGAGTGATTTGATTCTTGTTTTGTTTGAAATTCTTGTTTGAATATTTTCAGGTGTTGCATACAAACCAGTTCTCTGTAACAAAACATTCAAAGGTTGTATCCTCAGGAATGGGGGATGCTGGATTACCTGGCGTGTTTATAATGTATGAACTCTCTCCAATGATGGTGAAATATACAGAAAAGCAAAGGTACTTTGTGTGGGAACACGCAGCTTCTTCCCCCCCCAAACATTGATTGCCTGATAGTGCATTTTTATCTGTAACTTTAAAACACTTACTACAAAATTTATGTAATTTTATAATTACATTGGTTGTCTTCTACAAGAAAAATCTAGGAGTTTTATCTTTACAACATTTCATATAGGAAATAATTCTTTTTAAATCATTAAAAGTAAGAATATCCAGATAAAGTTAACATGAAACAAAAGAAATAAAAAAAAATATATATATTAGCAGCCTGATTTCCCCTACTTAATGAGATTATCATAATCCAAGGCATGTTTGCTTATTGGTGTTAAGTAATATCTCCAATTACACTAAGGGGGAGATCAGCCTGCATGATTGATAACTGCATAAAGTCACATTGTTATAATATAGAACAACAGTGAATGAGTTGTTCAAGGTTCATTTTTGTAAAATATCAGGTGTTGTGTTCCAAGTCAATATATTACTCATATTTTCGTTTTTTGTTTGATTACACTTTTAAAACCAGCATTTCACAATATATCATGTTGGAACAAAAGTTCTGTCCGATTTTATTGTGTATATTAAGAAGATATTAATGCTTATAGAAATATTTAATCCTTAATATAACCTCCATTGCTTCCTAGAATCTCATTCCATCTGTTTATAAATGCCACATTTGTAAAATTCTTTAGGTTTTGATGTAAAATACAAGACCACCTTATATTCAACCTTATATCTTGATATCAACCATAGGCCATCCAAATGGTTCTGCAAATAATAATCAGGAGCAAGGTCGATAGACAATGGATTACAAAGCAATTATTCCCAAATGAATTCCTCTGCGAGATCTTCATAGTCAATCAAGCAGTGTGAGGATGGGTAGGATTTGTGATGGAGGATTAATCCATTTCTGTTGTCTAAAAGTTCATACTGATTCCTTGAATATCCCACCATACATTCAATCTGATCTTCTTTGGATGAAGCTTGCCTCTCAGTCTCTTTCCATGATTGATCCACTTATGATGATGCTTAACATTATTGTAAAGAATCTGTTTCTTATCATCAGCAATAATGGTTGACACCCGCTCGCATTAGGATCCTCCTCCTCCTCCGTCTTTATTCCCCTCTGGTGGTGGTAGTGGAGATGGCCGTGAAGTCGCAACCTACTCCTGAAGAGTAGTCAGAGAGAGTGTGACATGGCCATTTACATGAATTTGATTTTGGCGGATAACTCTGTGCAATGGAAAAGTGCCTCATTCACAGCTCAAAGGGGATCGAGACAGGCAAGATCTGGCAAGTCTGGTTGCATTGGGCTGTCAGATACCTGGTCTTTCAATGTCTGCCTTGGTTACACCAGCATGACTGATGTTGCCCTCTTCCGCTAGCTAGGTCGTGTAGATCTTTGCCTATCCTGCTCTTGGGGTCTTTGGGGGTTGATTGCATTCAGTCTGGTCCCTCCTCCTCCAGTAATAAGTTTGTACAAAAAGTTGTGTAAGAAATGACTTACCACAATCGACAGATTGGCAATTCTCTGAAGACGGATTGTCCAAGACCCATTTCCTGACTACTAAAACCTTTCCAATTTGTGTAGAGCTGGTGTATAATTAACATTAAATTTCTCACTGAGTTCCTTATGTATATTGACAGTATTTGCTGACTATGGAAGCTTCCAAATCTTTTAAATAGAGTCCTTTTGGGCAACCCTCTCTTGGCAGGGAAAACCACCTTGTGCAATTTCTTTTCACTTGATGCCTTGACACCCAATCACTCTTGGATGGATTTTGCTGCTGTACTTGCGTTGACACCTATTATGAAACTCCGAGTACATTTCTAACCTGTTCATTAGTTGGGATGAACATAGGGATAAGTTTCGAACTATATTATAAATAATATTCTTATAATCTGAAAGAAAAAGATATAAAGTACTCATAGTTGTATTACTAAACATAAAGAGGCAATACTTTAAATTTTGTTTTTCACCTCAAAAATTGAACAGAACTTTCATTTTAAGCTGATAAAAGGTATATATATAAAAAAAAAATGATTTTTCTTTCTTTTGCAGATCTTTCATGCATTTCCTTACAGGTGTTTGTGCAATTATTGGAGGAATATTCACAGGTATATTTTTTCTAGTCAGCATGTCATGTGAAAATTTTTTTAAACTTATTCAGGCTATTGTTAGAGATGTTATTATCAACAACATTTGGCCAAGTACTCTCTAGCCATATTTTGGTATCCATTATTTTTGGCTGAATATCTTTTTGAGCTGATAGTTATTTTTGCCTAATGACATTTCCTGCTGAATTAATTATGGATTTCTCTACCTGATTCATGGATGTGGGTACAACACTTAATTAACCAATGCCTATATCCACTATCCCACTGCTTGAAAGGACGTCAGTGGTGTAATTTTCGGTTCAGAACACTTTCGATAAACAATTGTCAAAATAACCAATTATTAAAAATGACGGACTTTAAAAGTTAACCAAAAGACACCACTGATGTCCTTTAGGACTGTTGCAGAATTAGGTAGTAAAATCCATTTATTCTGGTTCAAAAGTCATCACAGGTACAAAAATAATCGGCACATACAAGATTTTTCTCACCAACCAAAAATAATGGACAGGAATCTTGTTGATAACATTTAGAAGAACAACTGTTTGAATAAGTATCCCCCCCCCACCGCTAAAAAAAACAAAACAAAAACAAAACTTTTCCTTTCATATCAATCTAAATCTATTGATGTAAATAATATAATCTATAGCATAACCATGTCAATGCCCTTAATCTAACTGCTCTTAATCAGTTATTTACACTGTATAAACTGGATTTGTTGATTTTACAAATGAAGATCAATTTTTTTTTTTTTTTTTAAATTTTATTTCAGTTGCAGGATTAATAGATTCCATGATTTACCATTCCTCACGGGCAATCCAGAAAAAAATAGAACTTGGCAAGACATCGTGACATTTGGCTCAATAAAAATTCTATGTATAAATATTTTTTTTTTCGTTGTTATAATTCTGGAAAATTTTGATCAGTTTGCATGCATTTTCTTTATGAAACCAAAACATACAATCATTGCAACAAAAAAAACGAAAAAAAAAACAAAATCAAATTAAAAGATTTCTTGGTTACTTTAAAGATTTAATAATCTTTAACTAGTTTTCCAGAATCATTAAGATAAATTACTCAAACTTTGTAATTAAAATAGTTTCCATTTTTCCTAAGAACTTTTCTAGCAAGTTCAAAAATAAAAAACTTACACAATTTTGTGGCTGTATTACTTAAAACAGCTTATTTTTACTGCTTAATTAATACAAATATTAAAACTAGATTTTTATAACCTTTGCTTTGTTCTACTTGAGTGAAAATGTTTACTTAAAATTCTTTTAATTATGTCAACTCTTGTGGATTTTTCTCTTCCCATTACCAAGAAATGGATTAGGTTACAATAAACAAAGATGAACACCACTGGACCATTTTTTTTTTTTTTTTTAACTCAATTTTTTTATGATAATGTGCAAAACGTTTTATTTATTTATTTTTTTTTAATCAGATAATATCCAATAAATTGCTCAAAATATTTGAGATCAAGGGAAACAAGGCAAAGGGAGGGGAATTAGTGATAAGCTTTATTTTTAAATATGGAGATAGGGAGTGGAAATTAATTATTGGAGTTGGATAGAAGTCTTGGAAAAACATCTAACAGCAACTACCAGTTTAGTAAATACTATGGGAGAAAAATTTGTGAGATTTCTACATTGTATTGAAATTGTATTTAGAGAAGAGTTTTAAAAAAAAAACAAATTCCTTGTTAAAAGTGTATTATAGAGGAATCTACATACAATTTTTTTTTTGCCTATTTTATTTGTACTTTCCAAAAAGAAATAAATGAGCACATTTAATAATGGATAGCTTGCAATAACCAGCAAGTTTTTGCAAATCTATTCATATATGATATTAGTTTTCTACATTTGATGTAGAAAACTAAGTGGATCTAAGAAAAGTTTAAATAATTTGTAAAGATCTTTGAAAACTATCATTACAAGAGAAAACTAAAATGTTACTGGAAGCTGAACATTACTTCTCTTTAATTATTTGCTTTGAAGAAATCTGCCACTTTTCAATTTTCATTACATTTTTAGAGTATGACATTTGTAAATGTGGTTTTTTTTTGTTTTTGTTTTTTTTAAAGGATTTTGAGGAAGAAAATTCTGTAGAAATTATAAATGTAGGTCATTGTTTTTCAGCAACCCCAAAAAGACCAAGTTCTAGAAATGTCTTTTATGTATAATGTTAGTCCTTTAAACTCTGTACCAATTCATTATCTCTCCTATTTAAAACTTTTACTATCTCATGTCCCATGTTTCTTCCTTAAATACAAAAAGAGCCACTATTTTTATAAACCTCTACCACAATTAGTTTCTCAATATAATTGTATATTCCACTAACTTTTTCATAAAAGCCAATTATTGATCTGTTTGGTTAACAGTTCAAAATCAAAAAAGACAATGATGTGTTTGTTTTGTTTTTCTTGGTACAAAAAGATCTAAAAATAAATAAAAATAAATTATTTCACCATTAACAATTTCAAAATAAGCTTTCATTAAAAAGGAAAAAAAAGGGATTATTATTTGAGTTCTGCACTCAAAATAATGTGCCACAATGAAGGAATAGATCTTAAAATAAATTCCTGAGTTTTGTAAATAGAATTTTTTTTTCCACTTTAAATGAAAAAGGGTTTTAAAATTTTCTAAGTATATGGAAAAACAAATTCTCCAGTGTTAGTTACCAAATGGGGTGGCTATTACTAGTTAGTAAGAAAAAAACAGACATCAATTATAAGTGCTAGATGCCTTCAAAGGATACTTACCAAAGTATTTTGTAGTTAGGAACGACAAGCTTAATATAATCAAAACCGAAAACAGATTATGCAAAATAAGTAGTTGAGAGGGGGAAGAGAGAGAGAGAGAAAGCAGGTGAGGAAGAGTGACATGAAAGTGGCAAAGTTGTGAAGTGTTCATCAATAGAAGTTTTATTCATTCATCTGATTATGTTCCATGGTAAGAGTGAGAGGACAAGTCAGAAGCATAGAGAGAAAAGTCTTCTCTCCCTCTCTTTTTTTTTTTTTCTTTCTTTCTTTTTTCAGAGTCAATAGTAATCACAACTATTTGCATTGTTTTTGTTTTATGAGGAGAAAATCGAAACAGCTGTCAAAGTTCACCAGCATCTTCCACAGACTGTACAACAATACTTCCAGCTAAGACATCATAGGCTGCTCGATTGTGATCAAAGAAAAATACTGTCAGACACGCAGGAAAGAAAAATGCAATTGTGAAGTTCTTCAAAATTGACCTCAGAAGTGCACTAGAAATTGAAGAAAGTAAAAGAGAAAAACAAAAATTGGTTAACAGGACGTCTAAAAATCCATTTAACTTTTGAAAAACAAACTTCATTTTTAAAAAGCAGCTTTCACAATTTATATATAGCCAATTAAGTCATCACAAAGTCACTAAAATAAGTTTTTTTTTAAAATAATAAGTTACTTCTTGTAGAAATAAACCACACTGAATAGGAATTTATATTTTTGTATCTAATAAGTAATTTTGAGGAATTAATAGATTTTTCTTTATAAGCTGACTTTATTTCTTATTTAATTTATACACATATTTTAGTGGTCACCACTTTTTTTTTTAAACAGCATAATTGCACAATTACCTCATTAAAACTCTTGAATGCCTAGGTCAACATTTCTGACCCTTTTTACCCTTGTTGCAACCTTGAAATAGTTTTCATGTATCAGGAAACCCTTGCTTTAAAATTTCATAAAAATGCTAGACATTGCTAAATCCATTCCCTATGATTATCATAATTTTAAATAAGAGGTTGGGGCCTTTATTATGACAACCAAGGATTTTCTAACAATATGCCATACATGTATAGTAAAATTATGAATATAAAATTAAACAAAAATGACTTAAAAATGCATTAGCCTTTTTATCACTTTTTCTTGTAGACTCCCTAGTGACCTCTTGCAGAACACTAAGGTTTTTGGGAACACCAGTTGAGAAACACTGGCCGTCCAATAGATGTCAAATAGATTCTTTAGAAGAACCAGGGATATATATACTCAAAACACATGTATCCACTAAATATAATTGTGTGTGTGTATGTGTGTGCATACACACAAAGAAAAAGTGCTATCTCAAAATTCAGATTTGCTCAAACTGTCCATCTACCATTGTTGTGTTTTGATGGAAATTTCACTTATCTCTCAAGATCTTTTTACCTTGAAATAATGATTTTTTTTTTCTTTCTTTCTTTTAAACCAATCTTTCTTTGTAGAATCTATTTCACAACTTAAGTTCTCCAAACTTCTGCATACCATCTTTAATGAGTGGAGAAACAATAATATTGATAAATATTAAAAAGAAAAATAATATCAATGTCTGAAGTGTAAAAAAATTAATGAGAAAGGCATCTGTGAGCAAATGTTTTAGATATTAAAAAAAAAAAAAAAAATCCAGTATAAAAAATATCTTTTTTTTTTATTTTCACAAAATTAAATCATTCAAAAGATATTAACTGATGGGTTAATTCTAAAATTTCCCATGATAGTTGTTTGCTTGAACTTAAATAAATTTGACAAACCTGTAAAGTCCAATATCTCTTGCAGGGGTCACTTGAATTCGGCCATTACCCAAATCTAAAATATCTGTGCAGGAGACAACTTTCATTCCTAGCAATCGCTTTCCAGGTGTAGCACCACCTACAACTCCAATACCCCTCCGAAGACACATGGTCTGAAAAGATGAGACAACAACAACAACTTGTCAACTGACTACTTCTGTCAATTACTTTTTTGTAAGTTATATTTCAAACAAGTATTTTTACTGCCTAGATTCATTCAATCAATAAAAAGAATTCACATTTTGTCTATTATTTTCCTGTTAGACTTAGAAATTACTTTGTAGAGAATTTAAAACACCTAAATATCATCAAAATTAAAAATTTAATAAGCTGAATTAATTATAAATTCCAGTGCACAAATTTAAAAGATTAATATCAAAAAACTTCAGAAAAAAAATTCTAACATTACGAAATCTGTGTGCATTTAACAGCAAGAACGAAACTAAATGGGATTATTTTTAAAGGGAGATAACTACTTGATAAAATGTAGGAATGTACCACAAGATTACCTGTCGGTCTTTGGCTTTTATAAAACCTTAATTACAAAGGAAATGTTAGAAAATTACCAATAAATTTTAAATTTACAATTAAAATTACTATAGGCATCTCTCTTATTTTCTGATAATGTCATGTGTGGATGTCTGTATTTACAAAAATAGACACATTTATGCATACAAAAAATTCAAAATTCTTTTTAAAATAATGGAGTTTTTATTTTTTTACAGTTCACCCTGTACAAGGCCCGGGGGGCTACTTGAGGTATAGGCTTACAGAGTAAGAGGCAGTTTATGCTGATAGCCGGGGATAGATAACATTTAACCCTAGACTTGAACAGGTTAAGATTGTAGTGATTGAGGAAACATCCTCTTGGGAATTGGTTCCACAGAGCAGTGGTTCACAGGAAAAGTGGTCCTAGTCATGAAGGTCAGACCTGTGGTGAAACCAAGGTACACAGTTTGTCCAAGTACTTTCCATGGAAGCAGCAATAGAGCAGTGGGAGGCATGCCAAATCCAATCTATGAGACAGAGATTGAAGGGTGGGAAATAATTTGTCACCCACAAGGATTAGGAAACACTTTTGGACCCTATCAAAGCTGGAGAGTGAGGTCTGAGCCAGCTCCTGCCCAAATATGACAGCAGTACTCCATTTTAGGCCTGACCTGGCTCTTGTAAAGGTAGAGGATAGCACAAGGTATCAGGTACAGGGAACTTACCATTTTTCTTTAGTGATGGACCAGATGTATGAGTTCCACTTGAGATCGGGGCGAGTTTAAAGTCCAATTGTCTCTCAAAGCATGGAGCCTCCCCTGAGAGGACATCCATTCATTGGAACTGGTGGTAGTTCTGGATCTGATTAGTGATAACGTAATGTGATTAGTTTGGTTTTCGAGGCATTGAATGTAACCAGTCCGTTTTTACCAGACTAAGAAATTAGAGATAGACTTGATGAGAGATTGGTTGCCAATCTGTGGACACCATGAGTTTTGGAGGTATACCCATATATTGTCATGGATATTCACAAATGATCTGAATATATATACTCTTAGGTAAATCATTTATGTAAAGTAAAAAGAGGGTTGGTGGATGCCTACATGGATTGCTAGGGTCCCAGAGGACTGGCCATTAACAACTATATTCAGGGATCTATACCCGTTAGGAAAGACTTTTCTAGTAATTCCATAGTTGAAGAACTTGAGCAACAAACCTTTGGGACACAACTTGTCAAAGGCCTTTGAAACATTTCATGTTAACGTTCATTGAATTGTAGGGAGCTTTCTCATTTATGATTAGTAAATTAAATTTAATAACAATATCACTTGACCACTACAAATTAATACAGAATTAAAATTTTTAAATTTTTAATTTTTTTAAAATTAAAATTTAAAAGTTTATAAATTATCGTAAATTAAAAAAGAAAAAAAATGTAAACAATTCTTGTAAAAATTCATTATTCAAAAAAAAAAAAAAAAAAAAAAAAATAATGATTCAAATTCTTCAAAGAATTGTCCTTATAACAATAAGCAATACAAAAAAGAATTTCATGAAATTTCATAAAATTAAAAGAGTGTGTGTTTAACAGATGTAAAAAAATATTTTACAAACATTTCATAAAAACGAAAGGTTTTCATTCATTTTTTGATAAATCTCAAAAGTTTCACTAAAATCCAACAATTATCTGATTTTTGCAAGAATTTCCAAATCAATGTTTTTCACTGCAAAATGGTGCTCAAATTTAAGGTCACATGTTGATGTCAGAAAAACAAAATTATTTTTAAGCAAAAGTTCCAATGTTCTAAAAAGGATAAAAAAGAATTCATTTCTGCATCAAAAACGTCCTTTGATCTTTCCTTTTAAAAAAAACAAAGTCTTTGGACAATAAAATTTTTTTTTCCCCATCATGTATCCTCTTTTTTTTTTAGCAAATTTTTGGAAGTCCATATTAAAGTTCTTACTACATTTTGCCATTCTTGGCAGATTTTCTGTTATCACAATGTGGAAGATTTAATAAAAGAAAGAAAAAGACTAAATGAAATTGGATAGATTACAAACCCAAAAAAACACTTTAAAAAAAAATTTCTTTTTTTCAAAATTTAAAATTCCTATCGTCTCATGTTCGTATGCATCGACGTAAACAAACCTAGCCTGATGAAGTCCTAAGGGATGAAACATGTCACACAAAAACCTTTTCCACTTTGGCATATATATATATATATATACACACTCTCTCTCTCTCTCTCTCTCTCTCTCTCTCTCTCTCTCTCTCACATAAAGTTTTATTAAAATCCAATAGTTAGATAATTTTTTTTTTGAAGATTTTTAAAATCAATCTATTTTTACAACCTAAAAAAGGTAATATATTTTTTTTAGTGACAGTGTTTACACAAAGTAAACAATATTTTTGAATGCAAATATTTCTAATTCTACTTAAAATCTAGAAATAATAATTATATCAAAGTTTTGGGCTTTCAATTAGTAGAAAAAAAAAACAACCCTAAAAATAAGTTTTGCTACATACCTTATATCAGAGAAAGAACTGAGACAAACAGAGATTTAAACTAAGACCAAGATTTAGCACTAGATGGACAAAGATCAAGACAAGGGCCAACATATCTAGGCAAAGATAAAAAGTAAATTCCTTTCATGGCCATGTTTTTTTGCATCAATCCCTTTGACATCAGAGTTGTAGATTATTTAATATTTATAATTTAAAACAAAAAACAATATTTAATAGCATAAAAAATGACACCATCACTCTAAATACCATACAAGGGAAACTGAACAATAAATTTGGGACTTGACCCAATTCCCAAATTCTGGCCAAATTACTAAACATCATATTTTTTTAATCATTTTTTTGGGTGAACTGAAAATTTTTCAGCATTTGATGCATAAATTTATTTTTCATTTTACTTGGTTTTATTTTATTTTTCTTCAGGTTTCTTACACCCTCTTTTCCCCTCCATCACACCCTCTTTTCCCCCTCCTCCAACTCCACCTTAATAGTACTATTGTAACAGGGAACTAAGAAAACGGAAACACCATTTCAGGTATTGTTCAGATATTGAAGTACCGTGTCAGACATATTGTTTATATGTGAATAAAAGAGATGGAGTATTGCTTCAGTGAACTGCATTGTTGTTGTTACTACAGACCCCCCCCCTTACCAAGTTGCAACAAGTAACATACTGCATCTTGGTTAGAAATCTTAACCAATTTCAATTCAGAAGGGTCAATGGAGACTGGGCATATACTACACTCTGATCTAAGTTAGAAAGTAGCATAATGGTCATATATAAAAAAACAAGCAGAATTATATTATATTTCTTCGTTTCCTATTGTGACATTGAGGCAGTGAAATAGTTAAACATTAATTCTGAGAAGGAAAAGAGAAGGATTAACCCAAAATTAAATACAGAGAGAGAGAGAGTAGAGACAAATTTCCTTGGTGAGAATGGGACGTCTGGAGTTCTTTTCCCCTAAAAGTTTTATTTTCTCATCTATCGAGGGTCTGGCATGTGGTCGAAAACAGATTTGGGAAATAAGTTTATCTCTTATTGGAAAAATTATAAAAACATATTATTAATAGAAAGAAAAGCAGATGAGAATCCTATTTTACTTTGTCAAAAATGAAAACAGGAAACAAACCATTTTTCTTAGGATTGAAGTTATGAAAATCAATCATGTCAAGAGAGTGATCTAGTTTGAGTTTTCGCTGAAGATGCCAATTGGCCCAGGGACGGAAAACAAAGAGTCTCCTTGTTGAGAATTTAGGTAAACAAATATATTTTCATTGATGAAAACAGATTTGGGAAATAATTTTTATCTATTGCTCAGAAGGTTAAAATAAGAACAAATTTCTCTTAACTGGTCAGATGTACTGTATGATTAGGACTGGAGTTATGAAAACCAATTCTGTCATCGGTTTGTATCTTTGCTGGACAGAAATGGTTCCAGGAAAATGGAAAAAATTCAAAGAATTAAAATTAATAGCTGGAATGTAACTCCACCCCTTCTCCTATACATTTTCAAAATTATATTTGTCACAAAGATGGTTATACATGCCCTGGGAAGGTTGAATACCAAGGAAGGAAGGAAAGAAGGAAAAGAATTTAATACAAAAAAAAAAAATAAATAAATAAATAAATAAAAACCGAGTGTCAAAAGGAGTGTTTTTGACACCATTTATTTTAACTACCTTCACTCCTCTTAGAATTCTAATAAAGCCTAAAACGTATAATGAAAGTGAATTTATATATTTTGTTCTTGAGAATTTATGACAAAAATATTAAATTCTATTTATTAGGTTGTTTATTTACAAGAATAATTTTATATTTACAATATTCTAAAATCTAATACAATTAAAGCTAATGTAATGGAATATTTATCATTTACCAATTTATAAAAAAATAAATATGAAGACAATTTTTATTCATAAATTTATAAACATTTATTAAATTATTAAAATATGCGAACAAACTACAAGGAAATCCTTATTATTTACCATTTTATAAAGTTTGAATTGAATGGCAATTAGACAATGGCTAATAAACAATCTAATAAATAAATAGTGTTTAGTATTTTTGTTGCCAATTCTCAAGAACAAAGGAATTCACTTTCATGTGTTTAGGCTTTATTAAAATTCTAATCATCACTTTTGAAAAACAATTATTACCAAATAGTGAAAGTAGTTCAATTAATAGCAATGTCAAGGGAAAAATGTCCTTTTGACACTCTGTTTTTTTGCAGGCACAAATGTTAAAGATTGTCAAAGAGTTTTTTCTTTTCTTTTGAAGATAAAGGAATGCAACCAAACAGAGAAATCTGTTCTAACAAAGAGAAGCCGTCAGCCACAAACTGAAATATGTATGTATAAGAGAATAGAAAGATGAACACTTACCTCTACAATAGTGATGGATATTCTGTTTAGTAATTCAAATAATATCACTTCTGATGTGAAATGAAACACTTTGCTCAAGTCAAATTCATCCATTGTTACAAACCAATTGTACTCCAAATCATATTTTTCCAGGTCTCTACAAAAGCAATGCAGAATATTACAAAAGTAGTACAGCTTAAATGCATTTTCATAGACTTTTACAAAACTATTGAGAAAGTATTTTATGTTATATTTTTAATGTCATGTCCACCCAAAACATAGGCAATCATGACACTCCATGGATTTTCCTTTATTATCTGTGAATTGTCATAAATTCTTAAAAAAGATAGCAGAGTGGTTTCCTATTGATTTCTCTATGGTTTGGAATTTAGTTTTTCTTCTCTTGGACCAGTTGCTATTTAATTTGCCATTACAGTAAACTAAAGCTGCCTATTTAAACACAGAATTGCAAATTTGGGCTACATTTGAAATAAACTAGACTAACTTGAGCTACTAAGAAGAAATTTAATAGCACTGAGTTTTCAAAGATAGCCTAATTTTCTATCTGTGCACTCTATCCAGAAATTATAAAAACAATGCAAATTTAAAAAACAAATGTTTTAGTAGAATTTGTTGAAAAGTGCATCCAGGTTTATACATCCACCCACCCAAAAAATTTCAACTTTTATTCTTTGTTTTAGGAGACCATTATTTTCTTGTGTTTTGCCATAAACATCAGAGTCACCCAGAAAGTTGCAGATAACAGTGACAGACTGAGATTTTCATCATTTCATAGAAAAATGCTTGGCAGTATCTGGAGGGTTTTGCTCCAAGTAAGAATCTTTTAGGAATCTCTTCAGCATTAGAATTAGAGAATCACATTAAATTTAAAAATGTTTTTGTAGTTTTGGAACACCAAGAAATGAGCTTTAATTACAAAAACCATTTAACTATTAATCATAGACTAACATATTTTAGGTGCATATTTGCATGCAAGTCACTTATACATACATTATAACCTCTTCAGCTCAAATTCAACAAGAAATGAGGCATTTTCACAATGTTCTTATAATTTTTGTACAGAGTGTTTGGTAAATCTGTGTGGCTAAAGCATTTCAGAATTCTTTGATTCTTGTTAACTAAAATATTTTGTTTATCATGAGGAAAGCTCATTTCACAATTTTTATTTACTGCCAACTAAGAAAAAAAGTACCAATTTATGAACAATGTAAGAATTATCACAATAGACTAAGTAGAATGGTTCTTTTTTTAAACATTCTTTACCTAATTTTATAATCACCAACTATAGGACATTATATTACTTAAATCTTTTTATAAAAAGTATTTTAAAAAAATACTTGCACCAATATTTCTGGTTAATATTTTTGCTTGATTTAGTTAAAGTAACTCAATACTATGTAGAAAGTCAAGATTAACTAATACAAAAAAATTTCTTTCTTTCACAAAATGTATACATTTCTAGATTTTGTAATAGAATAAATTTCTAATAATTGTACAAATTTCTTGTATGCTATAAAAAAAAAAAACAACTATCAAAAATAAACCTGTTCTGTTACCAGAGTACAGAACATTTTCCCCTTTTTAGTTTAGGTACATTTTACATTAGTCACCATTCTTGACCACTTCCTGTTAGCCTTTCACTATCACTGGAACAATAAAACATGGGTTCAAGCATATATTTTTCTTATCCTGCTAAATTTTACCCCCAATAATAACATCGATGGTAGGTACCTTCATAGCCTTTTTCTTCGAGCATGGGTCTCCTTTAATATATCATTATTTGAACATTTATTTAGTGTAGCCATCATTGTATACATTTATTTTATTGTTGTATCTATGTTGCACACCCTTTTCACCACATGTTAACTGTTTACACACTGATCACAAATTATAACTTTTCTCTTTTCCGAGAATTTATCATTGAAATATTTGCTACATTCTTTACCCATTAAGAGCCTCGGTTTCACTCATTCAGTTTTTGTCTTCTTTTGCTATATTTCTTCTTCTCTTGTCTATTATTTTTATATTTATTTCTTTATCTAGTTTTACCCTTTAATAAACCTGCTGATGAACAGGACTTCATCTTCAGAGTTTTAATTGCCTTAAGCCATTTATCTGGCTGTCTTGGGGTAGGTGCACGTGCAAGACAGACACATACACAGGAGGCAGAACATAACTTATTTTAAAAATATTTCTCTTATGCAAAAATTTAAAAAAAAAAAAACAATGTGTCTGTTACAAAATATAATATACAAGATATTGTTATTACTTCAAAAAATAAAAAAAATCTTGAACTTAATGAAAGTATTTATCCAAATCGCAACAAGATTAAAAATGTTATACAAATATTTTTATGATGAGCAGTGGTCCAATATGAACACAGTTGAAAATTTAACACCTTAGCTACTCACATTTGGGGGGATTTGTAGAAAGAAACTCCACTTTAATTTAATGGGGGGAATAGCTATGTTAGATGACTTATAAAACTAACAATTTATTTGAACTTTTTTTTTTTTTTTAAATGTAATAAGAGAAAAATTGTTTAAAGTGATTGCATTAATCTCCAACTTCATTGATGGCTGATATATTTTCCATTCACTCTACTCTTCCCAAAAAGGTAATGCTCAATAAAATGCAGCATTAAAAAAAAAATAAAAAAATGATTTGAAATGAAACAACTTTTAAAATCAAGTACAAAATTACTGAGAGAATAAAGATGGATGATCTTACATGTAACCCATATGTTTCATCACCATCACTGATACCATCAATTTGATGTAGAAGAGAAGCACAAAATCCACTAGCTCTGCAAGTATCCGTTTCCATAGTGACGGAATCATGTATTCAGTTGCTAAAGAGATAGAGATGAGTGAGAAAATAGATTAAATAAGTACTTAAATGTGAAGATATAAGCAAATAATTATGTAAGTTTAGCAAAATTTATCAACACAAACTGTGGCTGGCAAACCAAAACTAACACCTTCAAAAGTAAAAGTTATCATGATGAAAAAAAAAAAAATGAATGCAACCATTTCAGATAAATATTTGCAGATTTGGGGTTGGGATTTAAATTTCAAATGTTTAAATTGTTAGTAATAATTTTGGTGATTAAGAATTGAATTACAAAAAAAAAAAAAAAAAAAAAATGAAACTATTTTGTCTTAATAGCTACTAAAATTACATTTAAACTAACACTGACTCTTCTAGGTTCACTGATGATATCCTTTCATTACACACAGAATCAGTCAAGTACTTGATAATAAATTCAACATGAGAACAGTCACTTTAGATATCTCAAAGGCTTTTGACAAAGTATGATAGAGGGGGATGTTCTCCAGCTACAGTATCTCTGGGAAAATCCACACAATTATCAAATCCATATCAAAAAAGAGCCATGAAAGTCACCATTAATAGTCAGTCATCCAGAGCCCAGGAGATCAATGCAAGTGTCTCCCAAGGCTATCTCCTCTGCCCTACCCTCTTTCTGCTTTATATTAACAATCTGTCTCAGAACATGCTCACATCATTATCAGTAAATATCAATGCAGATGATACCACAGTTTATAAGTGCACTTCTAAAAATCTAGATAATCAGAACGTGGCAGCTGAACTCTCCTCTGACCGAGCTCTATCAGCTCAATAAGGGAAAAACTGGGTTATAGCTTTCAGTACTTCAAAAACCACGTTACTCTCATTTCATCATCACTGAGAAGACACTGAATTTTCTCCTCTACTCATGAATGTGTAGCTCTCAATGAGACTCCTTGCTTTGAACAGCTATTGGGATTTAAGTTCACCTACAGATCTCAAATGAAATTCATATACAACCCATTGCTAAAGATGTTAAATAAATGGTCAGTTCCTTGTACTGTTCCAGAAAGTATCTAATTCCTCCTATCATGTTCTATCTTTATAAGAGACAGATCAGACCCAAAATGGAGTATGGCTGCCCTATCTGGACTAGAGCTGCTCAATCCTCACTTTCTAGCCTTGACAGACTTCAAAAGCATCTATGTGGCCTTGTGGGTGATGAATTATTTTCAAACCTACAACCCAATTTCCGCATGAAATATTGCAAGACTCTTGTTATTCTATTGCCATGACAAATGATCCAATGAAGCACATTCCTTAGTTCCACCAGTTCAGACCTTTACAGCTAAAATCAACCATGTCATTTATATAAAGTTGAATACTCCTCCTACTCCTCCTCAGTCCCTTTGTATTTCATTGGTAAGAAAAAAATTCAATTTGGATAGTGTCTTCAAAAGAACTACTACTTTGTGGAACAGAGCCCTGAGAGAATGCTTTCCCTGATCACTATAATCATAGACTCTTCAAGTTTACAATCAACTGTTATCTATTTCAACAAACTCTTCCAGTAAACTTCTACCTAGAGTGGCTCTTGAGCCTTGTATTGGATGAACAACAGAAATAAAAAAAAAGATTATGTCAGCCAAGTCACTTTCATTTGCTTTGCTGTGCTATGCAATCATTTGAGAAATTTGCATAAGCTGTAAAATGGTACTACTGAAATTATCATAAAGCAGTTTCAGAAAAATAGATATAAATGAATGAAATCATTTATTTCATCTATGGCATATATGCAATGTTAATATCATAGTAAATGAATAACAAGGTAATATAGTAAATGAATGGTCATAAATTTGTTTTCTTTAAATAAACACAATAAAGACAAACAAATCTATTAGTATTATTTAAAAAAAAATGGAATAATTATTTTTTTCTGAGCAAAACAAAAAATAAATATTTCAGAAATTTAAATTTGTTAGACTTTCAAAATATACTATTTAGAGAAAAAGAAAAAGGAAAAGAGAAAAGAAACAAGGTCAACATTGTCTATTTTTCTTTACAGTGGATCTAGGTAAATTGCTTGAAATCAATTGTTCGACAGTAAATTGCTCGAAAAATAATTTCTCAAACTATAAATTGCTCGAAAGGCAGATTGCTTGAAGTAATTTTGAAGGTTGAAGCACCACATAAACTGTGCCATCTCAAGACACGTCAACGGAGCTGGATATAAAAGGAGCCACAACACTCAACTTTAGCAGTCCTTTTGGAGATCTTGAACCCTAGTGATGGACATAACTTTTGTTGAGAGCGAAAAAGGAAAGAAGAAGTTGTGTTTGGATGGATATATCTATATATTAAAGACAAAACAGTGAACAATAAGATTTACTGGAAATGTGAAATGTGTAAAAAAAGGAAATGCTTAGCACTTTTTTTTTTTTTTTTTTAACCACAGGTTTCGAGAAAACTGCTTTTGAGCAATTGATAGTTTGAGAAATTATTTTTCGAGCAATTTACCAGATACGCTTTACAGCTGTGATCGAAATAGTTTATGCAGTTAAAACTTTCAGAATAGAAAATACTTTTATTCTTTTTTTTTTTTTATTTAAATCACTAAACATATAATTATAAAAGCCAACAACAAAATATTCACTGATTTATGAAGCTCACAAAAAAAAAAACAGATTGAAAAAAAATACCAGAATAATATTAAAATGTATTTTTAAAGTTGAATATGCAGATTAGTTATATTCATTAAATAAGAACTGCTAAGTTGGGCAAGATATAAGGCACATGTTGGTTAATGTATCAAATGATACAATTGCATTTAAATTATTTTGTAGCATTACATATTTGCATATTTTTTGGACAGACAACCAATCTTATATAGAATCAATTTTCAGAGTTTTAAACAGACTGTGACACCCATAAACCTTAAGCTTTATATATATATATATATATATATATATATATATATATATTAGATAAAGTAATTTCTAGCATTATTTATTTTTTAAAAATTCTAACTAGAAGTTCTCTTTCACTGCAAAAGTAAAGATAATACTGTTGTTATTCATACTACTTGTTTAAAAAATAGGAAATACTAGCAGTAGAGCCCGGCGTTGCCCGGGGATATAACAGTAAGAGATAGATCAAGTATCGACCATCATAAAGACTGAAAAATAAAATTGACAAAGATTATTGTTTAAGGTTGACGGACACGCATGTCTTAATTAGTTATTTTTTTTTTTTTTTTTTTTACGAATTGGTCAAACTCAAACAAAAACATTGTTTTCAATTGTTATGAGTCTATCGATTGAATAGAATTTTATTATAAACAATTGTCTTGTAAATGGAATTTTTAAAGCATTCTGAATGTAAAAATAAAGAAAAAAGTGTGCAAGACAAAGAAACACTACCTGCCAAAAAAAAAAAAAAAAATAAAATTTTGTTGAAATTGGTTGAAAAATGTAGGAAATCCGATCCCATATATAAATGAACACACACAAACAACCTGGGTTTTAGAATAAGTATAACTCGATATGAGTTGTCCCCCTTTCATTCTGGCAACAGAATTGTGTTTTCAAATTGATTTCATGCAAAAACAATTGTGTTTTTCCAATTGTTGGTGCTGTCAGAACCACCACAAGGTAATTTTACGCAGTCCTGTGAAGTTTTGTTGAAATCGGTTGAAAAATGTAGGAAATCCGATCCAATATATAAACTTACAGACACACACACACACACACACACACAATCTGTGTTTTATAATAAGTAAGATGGCATTGAAAGAGAACAAGTTAGGAATACAACATTAGATTTAGATTTCTGCTAATTAGAGAGTTCCTTGTAGCTTAGACAGCAAGAGCAGTTGGTATAGTTAAGCAGGGTTCGCTGAGAATATGTGAAATAAGTTCAAGTGTCATTGATGCTTATGCTTTATTATTTATTATTCTTTAAGCATTTCACCCCAAGTAAGGCAATAAAGCCACTAAAATAGGAAGTAAGTGTGAATGAATACAAGAACAGAAAAAACATTATTTAAAAGTGGAAACAATAAAAGACAGAAGATAATGATTGATGTTGCATGTAAATTTTTGAAGATCTAAGTTGACTGGAAAGCAAAAAGCTAAAAAGTTGCATGAATGAAAAGTGTGAGAAAAGAAGCTTTAAGCATAGAATATATAGTTACATCTAAACCATTTCAACTATAAAATGATGAGACTTTGCTGCCAATCTAATACCGTGCTTAAATTCATAAAGTTTAGGTACCATATAGGAAAGTTCCTCAGATCAATTACCAGGAAAATATTTATAGAAAAGGCAGAGGGAATCTACATTACAGCAGCAAGAAAGTGATGCCAGGTTATAACCAATAACATTGCTGATTCTTCTTTAGATTTTATCAAGAATCTCTAAATATATAGCAGGAGCACCAGACCTTATGTGGCCACAATATTCAAAGCATAGATGAATGCTAGGCTTATAAATATGCACTGATTATTGTAGACTGTTGGCCCTTGATTAAAGTTGTGATAAAAAGCAACTGAAAAATCAAGGCAAAAGAAAATTAATAATCAAAAATAAAAAAATGAATAAGAACTATTGTTAAACCATCAACATTTATAAGACACAATGTTGGGTCTAATTTTATACAATAAGTCTTTCAGAATGTATGAAGAAAGCTGGATATTGCATCAGCTGAAAAATTGTGATAGAGACAATAAAACTGATCTGAAAGAATAATTATATAAGATGGCATTGTCTTGGCCAGTTTACTCTACAGTATTCTTTAGGTATACAATCTACATAGAAGGTGGAGGTTCTATTCTATCTGTAGTAAAAGTTTGTCACAGTAAAACTGTATTGTAAAAAGATTTGGTGGATCCTTCTGTACCAATTTTCTTTATCAACTATACAACAGTTGTGAAGACTTGATGCCCTGGTAATTTTTTGTAAAAATCATTAGGAAAGAACAAACACAATTTACTGTTCTTGATTTGATAGCATCCATTGCTTTACTTGGATACAGAATAGAAAAAA